CGCGCACCGAAATCGAAATCCGGTTCGTAAAGTGTCATGCAGATTTCGGTCGACTGCAGGATTTGCAAAGCATGTGCACCGCTAACTCGTTGTCAACAGATATTTTCTAAATCTTTTCATGCTTTTAATCAAGGTGCTCACGTGATTTGATGCACTTCGCGATGTAAGACTCGTTTTATCACAATATAGATCTTGATTATCAATCAGATCGTCTTGACTGGGCGCCACCGTTTTGTTTGAAGCAAATGCAAGTGATACGAGAGGTTGAATCTGATTGGTCACTAGGAGAGGCATAGAAAGGACATAACTCGTAATAGCCACTGGTGGCGCTACGATCGAGCCCAGGAATTCCAGCCTAGTTCGGCAAGGGTGGAAACTGGACTTTTAAAGTAAGTTAACTCTCTTGCCTCGGGAAGATGGGGTAGTTCTTATGACTTCAACCATGTCAAATAGTATTCGGATGGGAAGAATGTTCAAGATATTTGTCTTCAGGCTTGGAACTTGCGTTTGTTTAAGCCATCTCAACACACCTAATGCGTGTAATTACATTTAGTTTGACCTACACACGAAAGCAGCTTTAAAGTAAGATACAAAATCAGGATTTCATGACTTTTTCATTGACCACGTTTATTTATTTTCATTACCTAAATGAAATCTTTTGTCTTTATATTGATTTTAATCGACTCCCCTATGGTGTTGTATACGCGTACACCATCAATCATGCGCTTCTGCTGATTACATTATGGTTACAGATCGGTATTTATATCAACTTTATATTATTCAAACAGCTTTATTGATTCCTCGTGATAACACAAAATCCTCAGGGGTTGGGCAGAAATAGCATCTGAAGATTGCTGTCTATTTAAAAATCATCTCATGGGAAAAAATCCAATTAGAACATTTTTGGAAGGTTTGGAGTTTATCACAAAACCCGCAACTGAAATTAACTCGAGAATGTAGAAACAACAGACCACGAGACGGGCACTTAGTTTACGATAGTTTTGGATCATCTGGGGCTAGAGAGACCCAAGCTTGGACGCCTAGCTAGAAATGGCTGTGCCGAAATGCCTCGCTTCGTCCTGCCAGAATTTCATGATCGAGGGTTCAAATATGACATTTGTAACAGTTTATCACCGCTTGCTGGAGTATTTGACGTGACACGTACACATCTACCTCCTGTGCCACTTTTCCCTCACTATCAATCTCATATTAATAATATGAGTGAGTGAGTGAGTTGGGTTTAACGTCGCTTTTAACAGTATTCCAGTTTTATCACGGCGTGTCAGCTTAATGTGGGAGGAAAGCCCAAAGTGATGCAGGTCTCAGACATTTACCACTTCGGTGAAACCACGAGCACGGGTATGGTGCTGACAAACCTAGAAACATAATCGGGGTGAACCGGGATTCGAACCCACAATCATAGGTGTCTGGCGTGCCCAAGGGACGCAACTCTGCACAGCGAATCGCGGCGCCTTGAACGACTGGGCCACCCGTGCCCCCTAAATCCTATGAGTAGTAAATATCACATGTCAAAGGATAACCAATCTCGATTACCTGCCGAATATAAATCCACAGGGCGCATACGGGAAAGTAGTGGTGACAATTATATGAATGGATCACTGGAAGCCGTTGATGACGCCAAATGTTAACAACTTTGAGAAAATCAGGTTGTCAGGCTCAGTGACTTAGTTCATAGCGCATCGTACCCCGTCGGAATTGATCTTTACTCATAATATCAATCACCAGACTATCTGATTCAGACTCGATTATTTACAGGCTGCTGTCATATAGGTGAGGTGAAATTTGGTTTAACGTCGCATCCAAGATTATTGCACTTATAAAGCGACGTGCATGCACGTGTATGTGTTTGTGTGGCTGCTTGTACTAGTCCGGACTGATGCCGATTTATAGTGCAAGCTCACTGAGATACCATGCCGCAGTTTAACATAAATATCCCACTCAGACACAGTATACTGACTCCGAGCCGACCAGTCCTTGTTTTAGCCCCTTAATGCCGAGCGCCAGACAAGATAACAACAAGTACCATCTTTGAACGTCTTTTGGTATGACGCGGCCGGGGATCGAACCCCGGACCGTCCGCTCTCCGGGCGGACGCTCTACCACTAGACCACGGAGGCGGTCACTGTCATATAGATGGACTATTGCTGAATGTGGCGTTAAACAACAAACAAAACTCACTAAAGTCCCCGGACCTCGCCGTGCAGATCACCTTAGTTACGTTGTACCAGGATCCGCTGATCACGGATTCTGATCCCAGATTATCCCTAATAATGAGCATTGTTTCGTCAGCACCATTCTCATGCCCATTGGTTTCACCGAAGTGGTAATCTACCATGACCTTCATTACTCGGGCTTTGATATAATTGAAATATTGCTGAAACCCAGCTCACTACACTACATAAAGCTTTAAGATTTGAAAGTCTTTTTGCACATAATCGTTATAACGTAATGTTAACTACGCCACGAACTAAAGTGACCTTCTGACTTCTTCTTGTTACACGCTCAGGTACAGTTGCTCCGCATGAATGGATGTTTAAGAGCTGCTATAAAGATCTAACGACCTCCACACGTCATTACTGACATGACAACGCAGCAAATAATGTGTGGTTGTCGGAAAGTTTATTCTCAAATTATCGGCAAATCTGAGACAGTGTTCTTTGAAAAATCACATTGTGTGTTTTTTCACAGCTGTGGAAGTCCTAAAAATTCATAGCCAAAGACTTGAAACAGCTTTACAACTACAAAGTATATTTTAATGTCAGAGCAAACTTTCACACCACACAGTGTGCTAAATAAGCAGCTGGATCGAATGTTGAGTGCCTAAAGTTCCAACTAATGCTATTGGTTGAAGCGTCAGATTCAGATTTTAATTCCCTATATGGAATCCAATGTGTGAATTTGCGATGTCCCCTTGCATGACGACCCGTGAAGACCCGGGGTAGAATAGGTCTTCAGCAACCCATGCTTGCCGTAAAAGGCGACTATGCTTGTCGTAAGAGGCGACTAACGGGATCATGTGGCCAGGCTCGCTGACTTGGTTGATGCATGTCATCGTATCCCAATTGCGTGGATCGATATTCATGATGTCAATCACTGGATTGTCTGGTCCAGACTCGATTATTTACAGACCGCCGTCATATAGCTGGAATATTGCTGAGTGCGGCGTTAAACAACAAACGAACCAACCAACCCTTACATGACACTGCCGATACTGCTCTAGAACCGGAGTAGACTGTACTCACATATTCATGTTCTAAGGCACTTTTATTGACTTAATTTTAATTTTGATTGCAACATGTGGTTTATGCTACCGAAAAGGTGTTTTGTCAGTACTCTCATAAATGTTTTTTTCTATAAGAGTCTTAATTTGTGGTCACCCTTGATTCACAAAGAATAATTCAAAACATCACCGTATTACAAATAATTACTCTTGAGGAGGTCAATATGCGAGAACCCGATCCATGAAGCGGTCAGACCGAAATTCACTTTCAAGTTTATGACGCCTTTCAACCGTCTAGCTGCGAACCGTAAAATGCTCGTACCAGATGCCATCTTGTTATCTAGTTGACGGGTCAATATTCATCACATGACAGGTCAATACTGATCATGTGACGAGTCCTCCATCTTGTTTTCTAGCAGACGGATCAATATTCATCACGTGACAGGTCAATACTGATCATGTGACGAGTCCTCCATCTTTTTTTCTAGCAGACGGATCAATATTCATCACGTGACAGGCCAATACTGATCATGTGACGAGTCAATATTCGCGGTCAGCGTCTGTTTTAAAATTTATTGTTTCGTCACGAGGTACGGATTAACCAATGGAATTGCAAGAATTTAAATAGAGGTATAACGACAGAAAATAATCATTCATCAAACACCTGTCCGTTATGCGTGATAGGACATGGTGTGGTGTTTGAACAAAATCAGTTAACGCGCTATCCTGTCACGGGATTATCTTGTCCGGGCTCAATATCACTGGATTCGTTGGTCCGGACTCCTTTGTTGTGAACACCTGGTGTCATCACTGATTTTCAGTGATCCATTCATAGAATTTGCATCACTGTTTTGCCTTTTAGGCCAAATGGAATCTGTTTCGATGGGTAGTCGAGGCGTTGGTGTTAAATATTTAACACTTTGTCCTCACGTGATTTCTTCTTAATGTAATAGGGGCTTGCCGTAGAAGGCGACTATGCTTGTCGTAAAAGGCGACTAACGGGATCGGGTGGTCAGGCTCGCTGACTTGGTTGAAGCACGTCATCGATTCCAATTGCGTGGATCGATGTTCATGATACCAATCACTGGACTGTCTGGTCCACTCGATTATTGACAGACCGCCGTCACATAGCTAAAATATTGCTGAGTGCGGCGTTAAACAACAAACCAACCGACCATATAGCTGGAATATACGAGTGCGGCGTAAACCAACTAACCAACCACCCAATCATGTAGTGACCTCACAAACCAGTGATGGACATCAGAGCATCGAACTTCGCAACTGAGATACAGTGACGTACGTACATCAACCAAGTCAGCCACCCAAGCCCGGTCCCGTGTGTCGCCTTCTACGACAAGCGTGGGTTGCTCAAGACCAATAATTGTGACCCGGATCTTGATTGAGTCTTGACTAATTGTAATTCTGCCGGAACTTGAAAGTATCGTCTTAAACGATCCATCCGCTTAACAAGGGTAAACTGTACAGCATGTGAATATGTTGTGTTTTTCCCATCATATGTTCCTATACCTGTCCGTCATGAAGGACCCATTGAGGTTTCCGCGAATAGCTGCAAGATTTCTGATGTGGCGTTAAGCAATAATTACTCACTCACTCTGATTGTTGGAAATGGTGTTGATGTCGTTGTCTTTGTCGTTGCTTGTAGCGCCGTCCAGCATCACATGATACTTGTACATGTACATGGTATCAACTCGTTATCTATGTATCAACTTTTTAAATATTTTAATTATTGTCTCCACAGATATCCCTTCAAGATAAGATGGTTGAAATGAATCACCCTCAACTGTCAAGGTAAGAACTGCATTTATTTATTATCTCAATTCCGTTCTCTACGGAAATCTCTACAGGCCCTGCTATTAATAACAGTTCGCCTACACTTAATCAGTATTCCATTTAGTTAGATACAGTGATTGATCTATGGCTCGGAAATGATAGCAGGATCAGCACGATTACTGAGTAATGTGGTTACCCTTTAAAATGTTAATGAAGAATCATGCTTGTCATGTGCACGAAGAAATATGTCTTGCTTTATAATGACAAGCCTCTTACTGTATTGACATGGGTATCAATGTTGTAACGTAAATATGCTAGGCTCTGATTAAGTTGTGGACGAGATCCCGGAAGAAGGATAATTAGGACTCCAGCTCACTGCAATAGTTAAATGTAAAAGGAAATATTTCGAAATTCAAGAAAAATGGGATGTCCTTCAGCCAAGATGTATTTAGTCATACGTTCGGACTGTTTGTACCTGCATCCCCTTGGAGATTCAGCTTGGGTCAAAGACTTGGTCATGTTTAAGTATCAGTAAAAGAGTTTCCCGAATACCTCTAAAACCAGCCCTTCCAGTACACTGTTGGTTTTGTTTGTTGTTTAACGCCGCACTCAGCAATATGCCAGCTATGTGACGGCGGTCTGTAAAAAATCGAATCTGGACTAGACAATCCAGTGATAGATATCATGAGCATCAATGTCCGCAATTGGGATACGATGACATGCTTCAACCACCCGATCCCGTTAGTCTCCTCTTAACGACAAGCATAGTCGTCTTTTATGGCAAGCATGGGTTGCTGAAGACCTATTCTACCCCGGATCTTCACGGGGTCTTTGTACAGTGAGATCTGCCTGTACATTTAGTGCTGATATACATGTACGCCCCACGACGTTTACTGTTAGATGTTTACTGTTTGACGTTTACTGTTAGAACGTGTAATTTCCATTTACATGAACAGGCGCGACAACGTCCAAGACGACTGCTGAATGTTTTGCGCATTTCCTAAATAATTCAGATCCTGTTGGGCGGAGAGAGTCGTTTTCGTGCCATGTCCATTTAAAACATGTATTTCCCAAACCTGAGGATCGAAACGTATTATTTCTTCTTGCAGTTCTACATAATCTTTTTTTTATCTCTGAAAGGAAAGCTAAACAATTATATTGATCCATGTCACCTTATTTTCCGAAAAACCTGCATGTCCAGTGAACCCCGAGGACAAACTAAAATGTTTTTCAGCATTTTCGGGAACAGATTTAAGAACTAATTAAAGTCCTCGTCCACCGCCACAGAAATAGCACACGATCAGTCCCACGTTGTTACTGTGACATACTGTCTACTAGCACACAATTCTTCTGTATAATGCAAGTTAAATGTTTTTTTGTTTTGTTTGTTTGTTGTTTAACGCCGCATTCAGCAATATGACAGCTATATGACGGCGGTCTGTAAATAATCGAGTCTGGACCAGACAATACAGGGATTGACATCATGAGCATCGGTCCACGCAATAGGGACCAAAGACATGCATCAACCAAGTCAGCGAGCCTGACCACCCGATCCCGTTAATCGCCTCTTCGACAAGCATAGTCGCCTTTGACGGCAAGCATGGGTTGCTGAAGACCTATTCTATCCCGGATCTTCACGGGTCGTATGTTAAATGTTATATGGTCAGGATGGAGAGAAGATTTGAACAATGCGGAGTCTGCTTCAAGGTTGTACGGTGCCATTATGTATACAAATGGCAGATCAGTCATTTACATGAACGTTTGCGATTTGTAATGTAGAACTGGGATAAACCTTGCATAACTGTATTTATCTAAGTTAATGTGTTTTAAATTGAGTTTACGGATTTCAAGTTTTGGTTTGACATTTCGTTCTTTCTTAATATGAAGATTATTTTGTTGTTGGTTGTGTATGCATATCTTGTGTGGGAAGTTAAGGAATGGACTTAATAGATATTGAGACCACGATTACGATGTTAAATAGACACGATCTTCGTCAATATTGCTCAAAAACATGTTGCATTTTATCCCATAAATGCCACAATCTCAAGAGACATTTTCAAAAACATGATTTTGACATTTGCATTTCATGTTATTTATTTTCAATCGTTACGGACTGAATATGAACAACGGATACTGACAAGTTCAGTGAATCAGGCATTTGAACCATGGTCATCGGATCCTGACACGGCTATGGAACGCAACTCTGTACGTCGCATTGTTGGTCTCAGCTGCCTGAAGGGGACATCTGGGTAGATTATGTTTTCAAACGATGACCTAGTTAGATAGGTACAATATGACAGCTGAAAATTTTGTATTGAACTGCTCGTAATATCTACGGTACCTGTTCTTGTAAACCCAAAGAGATATCTACCGATTAATAAATCCTTTGAAAGGCGCAATATTTCAACAGACGTATATCGACGTTCTTGTACAGTTAAAATTACTGAATTTAATGCTAGAGATATGTTAACTGACACACGCGAAATGGAAATATCTAGAGTAATTGAAACTGACTGTGTTTAAGTAAGAGGAGTTTGGATTCAAAGACAACGTGGTGACGGGTCTAGTTCCGTCAATAAACGTGCTATTTTGTCACTGGATTGTATGGCGCAGATTCGCTATCACTGGGCTATCTGGTCCAGAATCGTATGGCAGTAGTATTGCTTGGTACGGCGTTGGGGAACAAACACTTACTTGTTCCTGCATATCGTGTGATGCTACCGGATGAGTCTGACATGCTCACTTTCTTCGCGAACACCTGGTGTCATCATTGACTTTCAATGATCCATTCATAATTTTCATCACTGTTATGCATTTTGCGCCCAATGACTTTCAGTGATCCATTCATAATTTTCATCACTGTTATGCATTTTGCGCCCAATGACTTTCAATGATCCATTCATAATTTTCATCACTGTTATGCATTTTGCGCCCAATGACTTTCAATGATCCATTCATAATTTTCATCACTGTTATGCATTTTGTGCCCAATGACTTTCAATGATCCATTCATAATTTTCATCACTGTTATGCATTTTGCGCCCAATGGAGTCGGATAATCGGAATAATTATTCTCTGACACGTTGTGAACAGCTTGCTCCAAATATCTGGGTACTGCAAAAACCAGGGTTATTGAATTCGTCTGAATTAATGACAGTAGTATCAGTTAAGGTGTATGAAATGTATGGCCTGTCATTTCAGCCCCTTTTCCGTTACATAACACTTCTTGCTAACTACATTCCCCCGACAGCCGTGACACCGTAGCTGTGCAACAACAAAGTTCCTTAATGCTGCACAAAGTCCTCTTCTTTCTCTTTTCATCATTTCCAGGTAATTGTCAAAGACAAGCTCGTATTTAATAGAGTACTGCTTCTGTTCAGCGCAGAATTAGGCTTGGTTTGAAACTTGGTTCTTGTCAACAGTGGAACTTCTTACATGCCATATTAGCTTACATATTCAAACTTGCGAAAGCACACACATGTGCTTTTTATGGAAGTTTTTAAGTAATGAACCATCTCTTGAGGCAAAACAGGAATAGGACGAACATCAGTGAAGTTGGAAAATCGCTTTTGTCATCGTGACTTAAGCTTCACTAATTTGCCATTTTTAAAAAGTGGTGATGTTTGAAAGCTGTAGTTTCCTAACCTAAAATGTATTGATCACCTTCTTTTGGAGCTTAGTCCTGACAGCACTCTGACACTGGAATGACAATGGTGTGAATGTCGGGCGCTACCGGTAGAGCAGCACATGCTTACCCTTTTTGCGAACGCCTAGTGACTGAATTTCAGAGATCTATGCATTTTGTTTACAGGCCGCCGTCCTAATGTAAAAGTTCTGCTGTGCGTCGTTACACAGCAAACATACATTTTTTGTGCAAGTTGTGTGAGTGGCGGTGCTACCGGAAGAACCGGCTTGTTTACCTTTGTCACTCACATATGGTGTCACTGATTTATTCATATAGTTTTTCAGTACAATGTTACCATACCCGCACTTATGGGATTATCCTCTGGCGTTTTGAATCAACTGTTTGTTACATTCGGGAAGGAGCTATCATGACTTACAGGCCACATGAGAGAGCGGTTGGAGAGCCTTGTGGTTAAGTGGTGAATAACGAGAGGGTGGTCAGGCTCGCTGACATTGTTGATGCATGTCATCGTATCCTAATTGCGTAGTTCGATGCTTATGATGTTATTCACTGAATTGTCTGATCTAGACTCGATTATTTACAGACCGCCATCACATAGTTTGAATAGTGCTGAGTGGGCGTTAAAAAAACAAACAAACATCTATGGTACATGTTCACATATCATTACATTGAACCACTCGTTATCAGAAAATATATTTTGTTGAGAGTTATGAACTGAAAAACACGAACGAGACACGTATATTCTTAAATTATAAACATTAGCAAACTTCACCGCTTCCGGGAAGGTTACATCTCGAAGCTCTTTTGTACTTACTTTCGATGTTTTAATATATGTAATTCACAACCTCTTTACATCGACCGAGACGGACTTTTGTATGAATTTCGAGTGTCATTGTTGTCCTCATGAGGGACTTGATCGATTTGATGCTGTGCTCCGAGCATCTCTCTAATCCTAATAACTAATGCCTGTTTTGAATTATGGATTTTGATGATCTGCGTCACTAATATCGTGTGCTTTCCTGTTGATGTCTGATGTGAAACCTGTCTCCTACATTTAAAAAAACCTTGCAGCATAGTTTCAATATTTTCACAGAACGATATCGATAGTTCGTTTTTATTAATAACTGGGTGCACAGACAACTAATGAGTTCTTCAAAAATTGCACAAAGCGCTTCACCGAATCACTGGATTGTTTGGTCCAGACTCGATTATATTCAGACCGCCGTCATACACCGCCTTTTTAGGTTAGACATCTAATGGGTTAAGATAATTATATATGTTGTGGTTTTCGTATGAAATCCTGTACTGTATTTTTGACCCATGGTCTGATTATGTGGTCAATTGTTCTGCAATGACAAGGGACAGCCAGCCA